AAACTGTTCGGGTGGGAGGAAAAGATGAAAGCTAGGATTGGGGACAAGGTATCCTATCGTTGACTTCGGCCTTCAGGTTCTGACCCCTAATAGAGAAATTCCGAGCTTATCTTGACACGAAAAAGACGCATATTGGATTTGGCTAGCGTCCTTGTCAAGTACGTGCTTTGAACTCAGTACTTCATGCTAAATAGCGCCGCACACAGTTTTATTATCCCCGTCAGGATTATTTTTTGATTGTGCCATTCCCTTCCTAAATATTGTCACCACGAGGTCATAACAATGACCGTGACCTACGCAACTTAGTAAAACCACTCTTGTTGAATTCATTCGCATGCTGAATATATTCTACAGTGTCGGTATATTCTCATTGAAATGATTGAATTAAATTTCCAACTGACTCCGCTGCGAAGACCTTGATCATGGGTCAACCTCTCAACGCCTCGAAAGTGTTTTCGAGCATGACCGTGTTCGATCTCTTGAGGTATTTTACCCAGATTCCCGTTTTCATGGGCTAACTGGGCTCCAGGGACACCATTACTCAGGTATACCCTCGCTCCGATAATTTTGAGCATATGAGCGTACTGAATAACCTTCAGATCACATCCCGGCTGAACGACATGGTCACTGGTAAAGTCTCGCTCGACCGCGTGAACAGGTTTTTGAAAGAAGTGGGTTTCCAATTTGCGAACGAGGACATACCGATTTGAACTTGAACGCAGACCGAATTATTGGATGCCTTTGACGGCAAGGAAACCCCGGCCCTGTTCCCTGCGAATCCATCGACAGATGAACGCATCGGCTTCTGTAACGCCAGCTTCTCGTGGTCCAAAGAGTCAGACGGATCTCTCACGCCCTCGCCACGTCAGTTCCTGTTGAAAGTCGACGGGGAACTTATATTTCAGAGGGGCCGGATTAATTTGGTCGTTGGGCCAACTGGATCAGGTGCGGGTCAGCGTGATTCCTTTGAAAGTTGTAATATTCACTGGCCGCAGGCAAGACCTCACTTCTGATGGCACTTCTGGGTAGGCCGAGTCTTTTGTTTGTGATTGGGACATGTTGATTTGAGCATTCCAAGGGGAAATGCACTTCATTCCATCCTCGCCGGATTCCTGGTTCCACCTCCCTCGTGAATCCGGTGTTGCATATGCCGCGCAAGAGTCCTGGGTCTTGAACGAAACCATTCGTTCCAATATCGTTTTTGACACTACGTTTGACGAGGAACGTTACAAGAAAGTTTTGTACCAGTGTGCATTGGAGCCAGATCTTGGTCTGTTTGAAGCGGGTGACGAGACTGAAGTTGGCGAGAGAGGTTTGCAGTTTCCTTTCGGAATTGATGTTTCACTCAGATTCATCAGGTTTGACACTGTCGGGAGGTCAAAAGGCACGACTTACCCTGGCTAGGGCTGTGGTACGTGATTTTCCAAAAAACGGGTCTCCGAGTCACAACTTTCAACAGTACTCAACGGCGAGCATTTTACTGCTTGATGACGTTCTCGCAGCTCTTGAGCAAGTCCCCAATTTCTTCTCCGACGGATCTACGCTGACCTCCCAACAGTGTCCATACTGCACAATGGATCGTTGAAAAATGCTTTGGCGGTGATTTGATGGGTAAGTGACTGTAAATTTGCCTTTCCCGCGCTGACACAACCAGAAACTCGAACTGTCATCCTTGTCGTGCGTCATTTACCAACTTAAATTCCGCACTACATGATGAACTAGACCCATAATGTTGCATTGGCTCTCCCAATTGCGAACTTCGTCGTTACCTTCGGGTCTGACGGCCGGATCGACAGTCAAGGCTCCATTTCAGATATCACGGAGCGTAGTTCCTTGGGAGTGCAGCTCTCCATCGACCAATTCCTGGACAAGACACAGCAGGAGATCGACGACCAAGACCCAGCTGCCAAGCCGGCCGATGGAAAGCTCATCGCGGCCGAGGAGATTCAATTAGGGCATGTTGGCGCCTCTTCCTGTTCGTCTTTTACCGCTAGTTTTTAAAGGAGTTTAAACTGATGTCCCTGTGTAGTAAAACTGTATCTCTTTGCCATGGCTGGCAAATATCCGTTCTTGTTCTTCGCATTTTTCTTCGGTAGCCTAATCTTTCAACACATCTTCATTGTGTTGAGAACCTGGATGCTGGGTTACTGGGCGCAGCAGTACGACCATCGTCCCGCTGAAGAGGTTGATGTTGTCTTGTAAGTTTGTTTCCGCACTACAATGCACATTCGACCGCTGATTGTTTCACAGCTACCTGACTATCTTCGGTTGGTGTTATCCTGTCTACAATGTTTTGCCTTCTGACACAGTTTAGTTGCAATCGTTTCTACCTCCACCGCAACCTTTGGTGTCTCGTACATCTACTTTGTATTTGGACAGTTGAGAGCATCAAAGGTGATACACACAAACCTCATCGACTCGGTTCTCAGTGCTCCGTTGAGGTTTTTCGCCCATCTTTCCTTGGTGATAGTGCATTCATTTTTCTTTCTTTTAGATGGCTTGACGTTACTCCAACTTCTCGTATCCTTGCGCGCGTCACGAACGATGTGAGGTCCGTTGATGGCTCCATCGGAAATCATTTTTGGGATCTCTGTTCTATGTTGATCTCTATGATGGTGCGAATATTCCTCTCTGCTCAAAAAACACAAGGATTGAGAAGCCCAAAGATAAAGTTTTGCGCTGTTATTTTATATGTTCCGAGCTTCCTCCTCCCCGGAGCTTTCGTTGGCGCTCTCGGGGCTTGGGTTGGACAAATATACATCGCTAGCCAGTTGCCGGTCAAGCGATTGATGTCAAACTCTCGGGCTCCAGTTCTTGCGCAGTATGTTCCCTGGCCATTGAGGTCTCCTTCTCTTGACACTTTTCAGTTTCGGCGCAGCTATCGCAGGATTGGGTATTAATTCATTCATGCTGGTGGCGAGCAACTAATGAACAGGTCATTTAGTTTCAATCCGCGCATTCGGAGCCGAGGCCAAATTTAGTGCAGAGTCGCGAGCCAGAATCGATAGATATACGATAAGTGCCCGCAACTACTACAACCTCAATCGGTATCGGACCGAAAACCTCTTCCTCCCTTTCTCTGGCTGATGACAAAATAGTTGGGTCTCCATACGCGTCGACGTCCTAGGTTCAGCCTTTTCAGCATCCCTTGCCACCTCTCTCGTCTATGTCAAGCACAGTAGCGCAGGGGAATCAGGATTCCTCATTAATATGGCAGTCACATTTACCCGTTGAGTCTCGGCCGTCTTTGTCCTTCCCCTAAGTTTTCGTCGGCTCATGGATTGATTCTTCCTTAGAGATGCTTCTATGGGCTGTCAGTATCCAGCCGATCCTATCCTCCGGTTTTTTTTACTAACGTGGGTTATCCATAGGTGAGAGTGGCGAACCGATTTGAAGTGGAAGGTAAGTTATATTGAATGTCAACCACATAAACCACCCGCTCACATCTGAATAGGCAACAGGTGAAATTATATTCCATCTGCCGTTGAAAAGCCTCATGTCTTTTAGTCTTGAGCGGATTCAAGGATACATTGACATAGACCACGAAAAGGCCCCCACAGAAGCTGGGAAACCTCCGGCGTATTGGCCGGCGAGCGGAGAGCTCCGAGTAGCAGGTCTTTCAGCTCGATATTCCGAAGATGGCCCGAAGGTATTGCACGACATATCGTTCCATATAAAATCAGGAGAACGAGTTGGCATTGGTGAGCACATGGATATCTTTCCAGAGTTTTAATTAAATCGCACATAGTCGGACGTACTGGTTCTGGGAAGGTACTTTGTTCCCTTTTGTGGCGGGAAGAGTGACTAATCGGTCGGCAGAGCTCGTTGACGCTCTCACTTCTGAGATGCATTCCCGTGGAAGGTTCAATGATGTACGATGGACTGGAAACCTCAGAGTTGAACCTGGACGCGTTGCGTTCAAGCATCACGATCATTCCACAAGTTGTCAGTGCCGTGGAATGTTGACTACTTGTTGCTGATTGATTTCCCTCAGCCTGAGTTGCTCAGCGGTTCATTACGAGCGAACCTTGATCCTTTCGGTCAATATGATGATGCCGAGCTGAACTATGCGCTACGCGCCGCCGGCCTCTTTGCCCTTCAAAGTGAAATGGATGAGGGCCGAATAACCTTGGACAGCGCTATTTCTGCTGGCGGAAGCAATCTCTCAGGTACAGTCCCCATGTTCCTCAATGGAACCGCTCTGTTGATATATCTTCCTTAGTTGGGCAGCGGCAAATATTTGCGCTGGCAAGGTAAAGTCGGAGTGTGCTGCACGGTACGGCAGCATCTTAATCTCAATATTTTAATCTAGAGCGATTGTTCGGAAAAGTAATATTTTGATATTGGATGAAGGTGGATTCCCATCTCCGAACCTTCAATTTATCTCATTCACCCTCGAAACAGCGACCTCTGCCATCGGTAACCCCCTCGCAATACCCAGTTTGCTTACGGAACTAATTCACCCTTCAGATTATAAAACCGACTCGATCATCCAGAACTCTCTTCGGAAAGAATTACGTGGGGACGTCTCTTTAATCACTGTGGCCCACAGATTGCACACAATTATGGACACGGACAAAATTGTACGTGGCCAGTAGAGTGTTTTATTGTATCGTGCTGATACCTGTCCGTGCAGATGGTCCTCGACGCGGGGCGTCTCGTGAGTTCATTGGTCTTGATCGCTACATCTCATCGATATATATTATCAACCCTAGGTCGAATTCAACAGTCCGAAAGAGCTGTTGAAAATCGAGGATGGGAAGTTGCGGGCCTTGGTGGAAGAGTCTGGTGATCGAGATGTTCTGTATTCTATGGCAGGTGCGGATTTAATTTGGCCATCGAGATAGTACTCTGCACGTAGCGAATGTTTCCAATCTCCGTTCTTTGTCCGAGTACTAGTCTAGCTTCCTTGGATAATTACACTCTCCAAGTGCGGACTGTTCAGGATAGAAATTTGACCCAGGAAGATATCTTATCCCGCACAAGCGAGTGAACTCGACAGCACCGTAGCACAGTTGGAAGTGCGCCGGTCTCATATCGATATTTGAGTAATTCGGAGGTCGCTTGATCGAAACAAGCCGTTGCTATTCTTTTTTTCTTCTCCGGAGTTCCCACTGAAGCGAACATTCATGACTCGATTCTGACTCAAATGAAACTCGAGTCATAAGTACTGTGGACGCGGACGGTTAAATGCTATCAGCAATATCATTTTGTTCTGAGAGGGTGAATGCGATCACATAAAATTTCTGTTGCCGTCGTGGCGCGACCACGTCGACATCTCGGACTGGAGGGGATTCAATGTTTTTCCGTGTTTGTGTTCCCGCCTTGACGTGTTCGATCACGTGCAATCCTGATTCTTTCAACATTTTTTGTTTCTTTTTTTTTCGGAGCGTTTAGGACTACCAGGTTTGCTCAGAAAACTCAGTACCCCGTGGCATGTTGTCAAGAACATATAATTTCACCCCGATAACGCCGTGACGTAGTCAAAATCATACTAAATATCGTTTTGGAGAGCCTGACGCACAAGGGAGATAGACGCGGTAGATCGTGGGGTAATTTGGTATTGGAACGGTTTAACATGTCTTCGACATCAATAACTAAATCAGTTGAAGCTAACGAGCCAGTGGGAAGACGTACGAAACGATTGCAGTTGTAAAGCCGATCTCTGGTTCAATTATTCTGCCATTAGAATCAACCGCTTTAGAGATAGTGACAGTCAAGAGCAATAAGACCATTTGAATCCATATCGAGCTCTCAGCAAGATTCTGGCCAGGACAAACGCGTCGTCCGAAACCGAATACAGTCTTTAACCGTGAAGCGAAACAACACCGTGAAGCGAAACGCCGTGTTGTTCAATACCTTAAGCACCATCGATCACCCCAGGATTTTGGGAGGAGGATGTTCCCGATGTAGAGCTGCCTTGGACAAAAGGAATTGTCAAGCAGGCTCTGTTCTAGCCTTTGTGCGACGTGTTCTCGTTTCGACGGCTATTTGGCACATTTAGGACCTCAAGCACAACAGTGTCGTGCATGCACATGGAAGCCGTGAGGTGTCAAAAGAGGCGTTTGATGGCAGAATACAATCCATATCAGTACCTACGAGCACCTCAGACCCATATCTGAGGAGCGACTGAGGTGAATTGGCGTGTTTGCAAGTGTTTCGCTTCCACGTGTTTTGGCCAAACAGCAGGTGACGAAAGAATGCCCTCGTTCTCGATCAGAACTACATAGAATCCCAAGGACCTTTGACCTACTGGATAGCGAGGAAGTTATACTATTGGTCCGTCAACAGGTGCAGTCCATCCTTACCGGAAATCGGCCGAGAAATTGCGATTTCGCTTGAGCGTTTCGCTTCACGGTTAAAGACTGTACGTATTCCCGAGGATCTGGCTGGGGAGTATCCCCCAGAAACCTCGTAGGATCGAAGGTGAAAGGATCAGGATACATAGTATCATCGTGCATCATTGCCCAGATATTTGCAATAATCGTTGTCCGCGCTGGGATTGAAAAGCCACGATATGTATCTGACCTGCTGGTACAATGGAACAGGCCAATCGGCGACGCCGGAGCCCATCGAAGTACCTCCTTCAGTACACAGCCGACATATGGAAAAGCAGCCTGATCGTGCAATGCAATGTTGGCACCCTACGTTCTGAGGCGAGAAAGTGGTCAACTTCCGCTTGCGCGCGGGTTTGCACAGACGGGTGTAACATCATCGCAAAAAGAAATGTTTTCACAGCTGACACCGACTGTCGTACGGCTTAGTTGGATTCTTATGGTGAGAAACGACTTACAGTATCTGCTCCTGCAGAGTAGAGCGCCCCGGCTGTCCAAAGAATGTTATCATCCAATTCCGCATCGATCGGAGTATCATCCGACGGTTGGAGTAACCTCGATGTGAAAGAAGGGACTGCTTGGCCAGCGGCCTAAAAATAATTCAGTTTGCCGTTCGAAGACAATAAATTGGCTCACAATCTGCTGCTTGACCCAACTGTGTGGCTCAAAGGACTGAGCATATAGTTTTTGGCTCCATTCCTTCGCTTTGATCTTGAATCCCGCGCCGGGGAACCACTCGGGAAGGAATCGGACTAGGTGTCGTGTTAATTTCAAAATTGTCAAGATATCTTGACTTACGGAAAGGGAGAGAGTCCACAAGCCATTTGCCTGGAGCCCCGCCTAAGGAGCCTACTCTCATACCTTCTTCAGCGAGTGCCACAAAAGGATCATCGTTGCGAGTTACGGAGTACCCATAGGCGATTTTCATGATGACCGCCGCTGCATTTCTGCACTCGACGAGTCAGCGCAAAGAAAAGAGCCGCAATGCGAAAACCTGCCTACGAAGGTGTTCCGACAGGTCGTCGGGAGATTTCAGAATAATGTCAACCAGGACTCGTGCTTCATGCTCTTGCACTTCCCAGTACATCTGGGAAGCAGCAGGATTGAAAGCATGGTGCATCATCTTGCGATACGTCTTGAACCGGTCATTATGAGAACTATTAAGAGCGGTAAGCCACACAAGAACCGAGTTCAGGATACACATATCCTACATGTAGAACATGCTCTTTTCGCGTCGCATGAGCACTCCTGCCATAGTTGGAAAAGGGCGATCGGAGTAAATGGAGGACCTTTTGTTCAGAAGATTAATTGCATCAGTGGTTGAGTTCAGGATAACCATGCGTTTGCCGAGAAGATGGAAGGATAGAAGCCCGCCGTCTGAACCTGGTTGAAGGCATTCGGTCAATAAGACATGTAATACTCAAAAAGGAGTTTCAGCACCATATTTGCGCCCCCATTCCGCGTATGTTTTCCAAAATTCAGTTTTGGGGTGGTTGAGTGCAACGCCGAGAACCGGGAGACTTGGTGGACCAGGAGGATACGGTGCAGATTGACGAGCCAAGAGGATATACACCAAAATTAGGCTGGCGGAACATAGAGCGAGTATTTCAGCCGAGGAGGACATATCCAAGTCTATGGGTGCCGGAAGAGTAAGGGAGAGAAACGTCCAAACCAATGAAGATGTTGTGTGTACATGTACCACGCGGTGCTTGGGAGCATATGCCGGAGTAGCCCGAAATCATGTTCGCCGTTATGAGAGGACATATTTGTTAGTGATTCCCGATGTAATACTCGGACACCTGGCAACCTCCGACACAACGACGCTGTTTGAGAAATTCTTACCCGTTTCTCATGAAGTAAAATTACAAGCTCGGGTATTCCTGCCGACCTACTCAGCTTCAAGTTGGAACTTGGCCCCAAACACTTTGAATAAAATGCTATTTTCCTCAGTGAGTGTCCGAGATTTAGAAGGATGGTAACAGCGCTGCAATACGGGAAAGTGAAAATTGAGAAATTCGGCCCGAGAGGTGGAGAACAGGAACTTCGAAGTAATAGGCGCCGGGCTAAGACGAGTACGGCATTTCCAAATCCAGCCGTTCATCACCTAACCATCACGGCCATTTCGCGTTTGAGCGTGCCCTTCAGCCTTCAGGTCCTCTGGCTCCGCGAATCCGATTTACACCGTTCGCTGATTTCTAAATGCCGAATGTTTCACCAATATCCCGCAGAAGTCCCCGTCGATGGGATAAAAATCCGCGCACAGCCAATACGCCCACAACTGCCCACAACGACGTAGGTACGTATACCCAGACACTGTCTGGCTGGACTGCGATCCCCATGTCTCTTCGCCGCGAACAGATCGACGTAGCTCCCGGACAATCGTACCCCTTCCATGTTCTGACGACCAAATACGCATACGACGGAAACCCTTACCAAAAGTCCAGTGATGCGTTTATTCTGGTACTAACACACGCGCTGGGGGTGCACATGGAGACCTGGGAGACTACAGCAGATCGTCTCTTCATGCTGTCCACTTCCGCAAACTCTCGAGTCAAAATCTGCGAGATGTATTCTATCGAAAGCCCAAATCACGGTCGCTCCGCTGTAGTTAATGCTGAAGAGATCGCCAAGCATCCTCTGAATGATTGTAAAAATCTTCTTTGTTCGCGTTCTCACTGTTTTAAAATCACAGGGACTCGAGAATACTCGCGAGCCGTTCAACGATTCCTTGCATGGCTCTCCGCTCAGACAAGAGACAACCTCACGGCTCCGGGCTAGGAATCTCATTGGAATCAGCCATAGTGTCGGTGCTCCTGCACTGTAAGTGTATTTATTAACTGCATCCGTATCCTTGCGAAGATTTTCCAGGTTCATCGCCGCTGAAGCTGTTCCAGCGATCAATTTCAAAGCCATGATCCAGGCATGACCTCGAAGGACAGCCCTCCTAGACACCGCTCAAATACGATTGCTTGGCTTGGCTTTGCCCTAATGTCTGGCATAGTCGCAAAGCGGCCAAGAAGGATCTAGCGGCTTCCCCCATGTACTCGACATGGGATCCAAGGGTCTTCGACCTCTTCATCGTATGTTATGAGCTCAAGTCACCTTCCACGCCCTTGATTATTGTTTCCAGGAACAAAGTCTCATAGATCATCCTGCTTCTTGCAAACATGAGGCGCCTCTCACTTTTCCCGGCGTCATTACTGCCCTCTCCCGGGAGCATCACGCTGTATGGAATCTCTCGCGTATTATCGGTCATCGACACTAACCTCTATTTAAATCTTTCCTTCCACAGTGACGATCTCGTAATGGATGGAATAACCACATATGCTGCTGCAACTCAGAGGATGCCTGTGCATGTCTGGGGAAGCATCCACGAACTTGCGTTTGTCCTCTCTTAGCAGTGTCCGCTGAACCAGTAATTTACCTCATACTACTATAGGAATCAAGAACTCAAAGATTTCATGTCTGACGCAAAAGGTGGTCGAACATCGGTATCCGTTTCTCATATTTGAGACACATAAGCCATATGGTGTGCCTTATACTTATTGACCTCGAGAGCAACGACTGAATCGTCATAGGTCATTCAGTAAAAACCTGATAAGGCTGCTGAAGTGATACATTCTTTACTCCTCATCGAATCCAGGCGGATGGTTCGCCTTTGATTTTCAGGCTGAATCGCGCGCTGTCTGTTCTCTCATGCTATCGTCTATGTGCATAATTATAATTGTACGCCCACCGTTTGGGCAACAGAG